AAAGAATTATATGTCTTGCACACTTTTGCCATATGCTTAAAAAAAGCCTGGGTACAGGCCAATTCGTATACATGTCCAATTGATAAACCGCTGCAGTATTTCTGGTTGAAATTTCGGGATACACAAAGTTTTTGTCTCGATATGTTGTGTTTTAACATAAAAGTAATATCTTGTTAAGTAGTTCAATACTGTGTAATACATTTGATAAACCATTATTCTGTGACAAAGCACCTCGACCCCCAGAAGCATTGTTTGTTAAAAGGGCGGTGGTCGTCGCTTCACGCATGACCGAGATATGTGTTTCCTATGAACAAAGATAGCGGCTTTGACTTTTGTGCAGATTAACGAGTACAAACTGAGACATTACCAAGCTTTAATTAGGTAATTTGTATTTACAAATATATAAGGAATCCTCTCCTCACTTATTTTATTCATGCTGTTATGATGCGTCATGTCATTCTTCGTAATCAATAACAAATACCATCTCATTATGACATTGACTGCAACACTCACCTGTGGGTATATGAAAGTATGGAACGACTATTCCATGACTTCCATTCCATGCTTGCCTTTCTAATTGTTCATTGTAACCGATATGATCACCATATTCATCAGGATGTTGATCTTCGTAGTTTTTGTCAGATGTGAAAGAGATGTATTCATTTGGCTTGTTGGGATCAAGACGAGTTTCAAGAAGTCTTTCCTCAGACTGACGACCACCATTAGTATAAGTACCTGTGTTGTCCATTATGTTTAGCAGTGTCACCTCTTCCTGTGATGGATTATTGTCTGTTATAAGTCCTTTCCTGGCATTAACTATTGCTTGATATCCACCATCAATAACTGCAGAAAAATGCAAGTCGTTGATTTGACCAGCTGCCCACCAATCAGTGGAAACATACTTTGCATACCAATAGCTTCTCCAGTCAATTAATTCGTTAGTTGGTTCCGTGCGTAAGTCTACTTCTGGTTCACCAGTGATCAGGGATACCAATTCCATCAGATCTTGGTCCATGTCATAATCAAATCCATGAGCACGGCCTATGTGATAGAATCCATCAGAATAAAGCTTTGGTTCAAAATTCGGGTCTTGCTGAGTCTTGTACAACAATCCAAGTAAAACCGTTGCAGTAGCACTGTAGGATGTTTCACAATGCACCAAAGTCGGCTGTGCCATTTCCTCCATCTTGATCACATAATACTGAACACCCTCAATTGTGCGCCAGTATAACTCTTCTGGTAGAACCTCGTATTCAATCTCCGCCAAATGATCTGCAATTTGTTTGATAACACTTGTTGTGGGGAGTTCTTCTTCTCCAATATAATCAACTTCATTGAAGACAAAAAGACCAAAAATTGATTCAAAACCCACTTCAGATGCGTACTTGACTTGGCGGGATGTTAATCTAGCTGAACTGTAGAAATCCTTAGTGACGTGCTTTGCCCACCACGTCTTTTCTTCAGCATACTGTTGATCTAAAGACAGTGCTACTGATGGCAACAACAGAAGCAAACTCAGAAAGATACAACCATCGTTACCCATCTTAAAATGTGAGGTTTTCCAGAATTAAGATGTTATTGTACGATCAGGACTGTGTATACGGTGTAACTGGCAACTCCACTGATCACAGGTCATATTAGGGGTTAACCATTCAAAATTATGGTGGGTGGAAGAGTATAACCATCGTAAATTTATTTTTCAACGTAGCTAACACTTGTATTTTTTTGAATGTGCCAAACGCTCTTTCCATCATCACCATGCACTGTTTTTGTCTCGCAGTGTCTAGCTTACAATTTTCACTAAATTGTCCAACCACCCCAATAAAATCAAATTGTCAACCTCTGACCTAGTTTTGTATTATTAATTTTTGACTCACGGGCAAACACAACAGATTTTACAAGATACATTAAGAGATAACAAAAATATTGTTTAACGATTTGAAAGATGATCATTTGGCTGTTTTATCAAGGAATAATTCTTGAATATATTCACCCAGTATACTTTCTAATAAAGATGTATGCTGAATTGTGCGTTGTCACTTGTGGGATGCAACGTATATTTGATTTGACCTTTGTTCATAGTGTAGTATACATTTGACTAAAGCCCTCTTTTGTTATTTGATATACAAGATTACGAATAAAATCAGTGTTATACATTCACACAAATAATATGGTAGACACAAAGGCTACCAACTCTTGAAATTTAGTGGTCCTGATAAAAAGTTGGTGGATAAAAAGTGCCAATGCTGCTACAAATCAGTATAAACAATGTATTTACTCTATATTTACTTAAATAAATGCAACACTGTCTGTAATGCGGGTTTTCCTTGACACTAATTATACATGTGATAGAAATAATACTGATACTTTATTGTTTATACTTTCACAGTGATAGTTTTTGATGTATTAATGACAGGTTTTCAGGAAGTAAAATTCATACTGTATTTTTCACGACATCTCATGTTTAACACTACCGGGTAATTAAAATTCCACGTCACATTAGATGCAACCTTCTTGTGCCATTTTTTTAAAAATAAGAATAAATCATGAAAATATAGAATATAAAAATGAGTATATAATGAGTATAAAATGTCTTGCTATTGAGTTGTAGACTTATTCACTCTGCAGGGGTTTCACTTTTACATCTTTATTTTTCTGGAAATGTTGTGCTAATTGGTGACCTTCACTTTTATCCTGCTTTTGGCCCTCCTCTCGTGAGATGGGTATTGCCAGTGTCTTATATTTGTAGTGTTTATTTCTATATCCGAACATTCACGCCAGTCAGTAACCATAAAAAGTATTGGAGTTCGTCTTTTAGTATAAAATACGTATGTCAGCCAGGCTTAAACTGTATGAGGGCTTTAGGGGAGTTGACGCTTGAAGCCCCAAGCTCGACTAGCTGAAAAATAGGGCGACTTGAACATGTTATGATGGGACAAAAGAATTGTTTTAGAGTCAGAGTGGTATAAATAATTAGAACCTCTGACGTATATTCAGGGTTGAACTGAAGTATCATTCAATTCAAATGTCATGAGTAATTCTAGCTAATAGAAAACAAAACAAAACAAAGTAATGTATCATCTAGTCATGGTAGATCATAAATAATAAAAGAATGGCAATGCTTTGATATAACCGTAAAATAAACATATCATTAGTTTATTTACATCGGTTACTCTATGTTGCAGTGGTGTAACATCCTCAGGGGGATCTGAATCTTACCTTATTAGGAAATGCGAACTCTTGATAAGAAGCAATGATGTAATTTTTCACAAATAAGATTGCTGTATTATTGAAAGATTTAAGCCTAATACTCGCTATTTTTAACAAATTCGCCCAGTCCTGGTGTTAATGGACCATAAGATGTATGTTATTACTATTATTACGCACCCAGACTGCGCGTCGGTCGATATTGCCGCTGTACTGTCTTCGTGCATACTTTGACTTATCTTCGTAATAACCTCATAGTATACAGATAATTAACACTTACAAACAGTATTTTGGTAGGGAGATTAGTTTTGTCAGATAGGCCAATTAAAATGCAATATGGCTGAGAATATGTAATTTTGAATATTGTTGCTTGATAATGTATGTTGATAAATACATTTGACTATGATTTATCACGGCATGAAAACGCCGTCATTGCAATACACGTCTGAGTATTCGTTCGACGAAATGATTACATTCCCTATTACGCATGCGTGTTCGTTGTTTTGGTACGTACGCTAACAATCACTGCATATGCGTATTGATAAGTTTTATTTCCCGTCTATAACGCGTACTGTTGTGTATTTAGTTTATGATAAACCGTAATCCAATATGATCTACAATATGGAGTATCGAACAACAAAAATAAAAAATAGGGTTTTGTCCATATAACATATTTAATACAATGTATTACATCATTTAGATAAAGGACATCCATGAAGTGCAAATACAAAATATATTGTATTGATACACGTATTCAATTGTAATAAAATGACACTCACTTTTGAATTAAACGATTTTCCATCAATTTATTTCTAGCATTTGCGTTCCTTTTTTTCAGAAGATAACACAGGTCGCAAGTTAGATTGGAATGAATATTTGTTGCCATACCTGCCAATGTTATTGATTGTTGTTAATCGTATCTGAAATATTTCATCTCAACGGCTTTCAGAGGATAAGTTGAATTTGCAACAATATGTAAGTCAGTCTGTTATGCATGAGTGTGATATTTTCCCGATTATTAAAAAAAACGATATGTCTTTTCAATGTTTAATTAAAATAACGATTTCTACTGCTTTGAACATAGCCAACATAGCTGAATATGGTAATTTTCCTGTGTTCTCAAAGGTACGTACAATTATTAAGATGACACTAACACAATAAAATCATTTCTTACAACACTTAATATATGTTGTATTAATTAATCATTATTTATTCACACTGGTCATATATAGTATTTATTAAAAATACACTGGTTGACCTCAAACATATACGATGACCCCAGACTCATTTAGATGAATTAAAATTTAATATTCATAAGTGTGTATCGATGGAAGCCATTTTAGCTATCATTTTAAATTGTGTATGTAAATAACATCTGGAAACATCTGACTATATCATTTATTGACCCTTAAAATCAAACTGAAAATCTTATCTGAATAGTCATCATGCATATTTAAATTTTCTCCAAGGCGGCATCATGTAGATTTTTAATCAGAGGGTATGTGAAAATTAAAATCCATTTAAAAAACATTAGGTAGACTGCCGTGCTGTTCTATGAATCAAGAAGGTAGTATTTAATATTATTTCACAAGCCAAAGTTCAGAAGAGCGATGACAAGTAAACAAGAAATTGTAGACAACCAGGTACTTGTATATGGGGCGTTATTGAGAACTGCAGACATGCAATTGGGGTTAGTGGAATCAAGCACGTCAATCAACGCCTGGTATTCGGAATCATCCTCTGTAAAGCGATATCCCATGTATGATGCTTGTTGCAGGGCCCAGGTACTGTTTTTGCAGGTGGAGTAACCTTCAGCAAGTAAGGCCCATGCAGCTGTATAAGATAATTATATGTTAGAACATGTTCTTTTTCAGTAATTGAACGTAGTATGTGGTACAATGTATTTTGTATAATTTGAACCAATAATGTAATTGATAAAAATGATAATAAATCAATATTACATATTGCTGCACACGTGGCATCTACCTGATATCACTCTCAGTCGATTGTCAAACTTATGGTACAAATAACGTATGGTACATTACAACTTTGTCATTTATGGAGATGCCCGGGCCTTTGTGTGCTTTCTGTTGAAATTTATTATTATAGCATAAGTCCAAATGCGACAATGGTACGACAGATAGTATGAGAAGTTACAAGACAAATGCACACGAACAAATATCTTACTAGCTCTGTATCCACTTCTACAATGTACAATAACAGATCCATGTGTGGAGGCTTCCATTAACATGTCCTCATATTGATAGAAAATTTCAGCGGTGACGTCATCTAAAATGTACAATCAAATATACAATAGTAAGTAAACAGACTTTACAATAGTAATGTCAGTCTTTTCTCTGTTTATTTAGTCCCACCTGTGTGTGTCATTTTACTATCAGACAAATGAAGTTTCGACAAACAATGTTAAATGCTTTACTGAAATTGTTCGTTATAATCTTGAAACAAATTCATATTACACAAAAAGATTGCAAGATATTCCTAAGTTATGTAGTTATGTAAGAATTAGATGTATAGTATATTCTTAAGGTAGTGAGAATGTTTGATTACATTTTTGCAT